GATTTTTCTAGGGGAGGTCTGAGTTGGCGAGCGGAGCGAACAAAATTTTAGAAAAAATGAGCTATTCTAGGGGCATAACCATGCCTATATAGGCGTAATTTGGTTTTTAAAAATGTGGACCTTGAGGGACGAGGCAAGTCAGAGAGGGGCAAACAATCCCCCTAATCTAAAATGGACGGAAATGGCTGTGATGGCTACACAGAATTGGAGACTGCTCTAGGTACGTTTGCAGCCCCGAGAATATTGGACTGCAAGATGGTAGTATATGCATAGTTGTCTAATGGTCTGTAGGATGACTTGGAGGTAGAGAAGAGGAAAAAAGAGGGGTGAACCAAGGATCGGATAGTGCTGAAGGTAAAGGAGAAAGACTTCTTTGTAGTTGAGGGATGAGGTGAGACAAGTGAGTAATCATGAAGAGGTGCTGCAGAGCCGGATCCAGAAGGGGGGCGTAACCCCTAGCCGAGACGATTGCGAGTGCCGAAGGCAAGAAGCCTAAGCGGGATAGAAAGTTTCTATCAATTATCCCTTCTATTGCTGACTGGGACTTTTCCTACCTATATCCCATGCCTTTCCCTGATGATGTGTAAAAAATTCCTGGTCTAAAAAAATCATTACTCTGCCAAAAATAGGGGGGGCGTTCGCCCCACTTGACCCCCCCCCCCCCCTGGATCCGGCCCTGTGCTGGACGAACGAAAATGGTTAGGGAAACAACTACGATGGTACTTTGTGTGATTTCTACACAAAAGAAGGGAGGCAGAGACTCAGTGGTGAAAAGATGAAGATGGGGAAAGCATAAGAGGAAGATGTAAAAGGTAAAAGAATTAGGATAGCCGGAGAGAGATATCAATGTAGAAAACAAAGAGTTGCAACGTAAGGCTATGGAAAAAGTGGGAAGGCTAAAGCAGAGGCAATTACCTGTTGAGATTATACATGGAAGGGAAAAGAGAAGTGTTCCGATTATTAGAGCTTGTCTATAAATGTATTAACAAGGGAGGAGTTTGGTGAGAAGGCGCATAGAGTATAGTTTGAGGAGCTGGCGAATTTAAAAAGGAAAATATACGGTTAAAGGACATCAAAGTATTGAATAAAAAAGTGCGGTGAATTAACGGATAAAGTGAGGACAGCTATGGGGAAGATGAAGAATGGAAAAATGGTTGGAAAGTTATGGAGAAGTCTAGTAGATTCCCCCTAACCTTCCCTTGCTTGTTGTTGTCGTGGGGGGGGGGGTAGTACTACTATTGCGATTTGCGAAGTTCTAGCTTCGCCCAGGCCTTCGGCTATGGCCCGGCCTGTGTCAGCTTTTTAGGGCTGGCTCATTTTTGTTCTGTGACACTCGGCGCTTACTGTGGCGGTGGGATTGCCAGCAGGCGCTCCTGCTGCCATGGTGTACTGCGAATCGCAAAGTCTCTTTACCAGCACGGCGCCTGTTGTCGGCGGTTCCTGTCTCAGGAATTGTGTGTGTTCACAATTCTCTAAGTAATGTATAAGTGTGGCGTTCCGCTCGCCGCAATGCATGCAACACCTCTCTTCACGGACAATGGTCTCAATTATCTGCCATTTACAGTGGTAGCCTAGGCGCATTCTGTGAAGAATGACTTCGGTACCTCTGTTGTTTATCTCAGGGAGTGCCAGTGGTTCATAGCCTGTTGCTTCTGAGTACCATCTGGTCGAGGGGGAGGATCTCGTTGCCTCTCTGTGAAACTGCAGGAGGAAAGAGTTGACGACACCGGTACACTTCCCCCGAAGTAAATTACGGCTTGGCTTAATGATCATGGGATTAGGGGGCATACCCCTGCCAGAGACGGCTAGTCTGTTAGCAAGCTCATTCCCTCTGATGCCAATATGGCTAGGGACCCAGTTAATAATGATTCTTCTACCCTGAGCCAGTATTCTTTGGGCTATTGTCAGTATTGTGGTCAGGAGGTAGATGTTGTCTTTGGGTGAGCTGTGCTGAAGACAGTCAATGGCTGCCCTAGAGTCAGTATGTATGACTACGTGTCCTTCCCCTAGGGACGCGTGGGATAGAGCTCCCATGATCGCAACGGCCTCTACCTGTAGCGAGGAGGCGTTGTCGGTTACTCTCATGGATTGCATGGCATCCCTTGCTGCAAAGCTGGCGCCTGCAGTGTGATCCACTGGATCGGTCGATACATCCGTGTAGTACGTTCTACTACCCGGAGGAGTGATGGCTGAAATGACCCTGTAGGTCTCTGCCTTTTGGCCAGGCGTGGGATATTCACTCTTTTTCAGTGGTAATCTCATGACCGAGAACTCTATCGAGATTTGTGCCCACGGCGGGGCTTCGACAAAGTCAGGGTGGGGGGAGTCCATGCCCTTGGCTAGATGCTGTTCTTTGAGCTCATAGCTTATCAACACCCTGGCTGTGTGGGACAGCCACGAGTTGTTTGCGAACAGCTCGTTGTCTTGTTCTTGGCGTCTCACTAGTTTTTGTCTTAGGCTAGTGTTCCTGGGGGCCTGGATGACCTTTGCAAAGAAATTGGTTGCCAATAGATCGATTCGTGAGTCCAGGGGGAAGAGGTTGGCCTCCATCAGGTGGTTGGGAACCTTTGATCACCTCGGGGCACTCAGAATGATTCTGGCAGCTTCATTTTGGACTGTTTCCAATTTTTCTCTGTATTTTTGCTTACTGCCAATCAGAGCGACTGAGGCGTAATCCACAATGGGCCTAACAGCATGTACATAGAAGGATCTTAGTACTTTGTGTCTGGCTCCTATGTGTCTCCCAGTCATTGCTTTCATGACGGTCAGTCTTGCTTTGCATCGGTCGACCAGGTACTCGGTCTCCTTCCGGAAGGAGAGGGTCCGGTCTACCCATACCCCAAGGTATTGGAAGACCGGGACCCATTCCAAGTCTACTTCCTTGATTTTGAGACTTATGCCTTGAACTTGCTTTCTCAGAGCCATGGCTTTAGATTTGGATGCAGAGATCTTAAGTCCTGTCCTGCAACACTCCTCAGACACAAGGTCCAGACAACGCTGGGCTTTACTTAAGCATTGTGTCCCAATGGAGGTGATAGCAAGATCGTCTGCATACGAGATGATCTTGCACCCCACTGGGAGGTTTATGTTGAGGATACAGGACATTAATGTGTTGAATAGGGTTGGACTGAGAAGCCCACCCTGTGGTGTCCCATTTTCAAGTGGCATGTGCTACAATAGGTGACCCTGGAACTTTACTCTGGCTGTTCTGTTCCTGAAGTAGTCACCTATCCAAGTAGTCACCTATCCCTTCTGGATAAGGCTCTCCTGAATGGCAAGAGGACTTGCTAATTCGAAGGCCTTTCCCAGGTCAAGGAATACTACCACAGCTGGGCTTGTGCCGACTGTGCTCAAGAGCGTGGCTATGCTGTGTGTAGTGCTCATTCCCCTGGTGAACCCGTGGAGGTGTTCATGTGGGAGCCCCATTTTCCATAGGTTTAGTACCATCCTCTCGGCCGTCTTGGCCAGACAGCTGAGGAGAGAGATGGGGCAGTACTTCCCTGGTTCCTTTGGTTTTGGGATGGGAACTATGGTAGCCCTCTTCCAGCTCTGTGGTAGAGAGGAAGATTCCCAGGACTTGTTGATGAGTTGCAGGAGTGCAAGTTCACCTTCTAGTCCTAGGCGGGAGATAATGGGGTACGTGATCCCATCAGAGCCCGGGGCTGTGTTGGAACTGAATTTGTAAGCTTTTCTTAGTTCCCTCAGAGAAAAGATAACGAGTTATAAGGTTCGGCTGCCCTTTCTCTGATCTGAGCAGGTCTGTCTGCTTTTAGGCTTTCTTGTTTGGCCCTCAGCTCGGCTGGCAGACTGTTGCTGCTAGTTCTCGCAGAGAACTTGTGCACCAGTCTGTTTGCCTCTGCTTGAGGGTCGTAGTGCGTTCGTCTCTGGGTTGAGCGGCTTGTAGCTCGCCTGACCCGATGCCATAGCTCTGAGAGGGTGGTTTGGTGGTTGAAGGACTCACACCATTCCAGCCACTTTTCCTGCCTGACTCTCTTGGCAGCTTCCTTGGCATCCCTGACAGCCTCCCTCAGCAGTGCGAGGTTGTCAGGCGTTCTTTGCCTTCGGAATAGTTTTCGGCACATGTTTACCCTGTGGTTGACCTCCCTGATCTCGTTAAAGTACCAGGCGTCCTTGTGACACTTGGACCCGGGCCGAGTTTTGGGTATGGTCAGTGAGGCTGCTTGGTTAATGGCTTCTATCAGTCTGGCTTCGAGCACGTCCACATTTTCGGCTTGTGTGGATCCATTAAGACGTAAAGACAATCAGGTGTCGCTGCCGCTCACTACCTTTCTTAATGGCATGATATATAGCTACTGACTCGGCATCATTTGTGCTTGTCCAGTTGGAGATGCACACACTTTCTTCAAGATCTATATCAGGAATTAGCACACCAATCCCTGCTGCTCCATGAGGATCAGTGGAGGCATCACAGTAGATTGCAATTGGGGCGTACCATGAGAGGGATGTAGAATGCCATCTATATATTTCAAGTAGTGAGCTTTTAGTTCCGTTTTTGAAGCCATAGATGTAGACCCTATTAGTTCAATATAAGCATGTACATGAGTTATGTGCCAAGGAGCAACAAGTACTGTATCTGGAATATTAATAGCTTCGTTGTTCCATACTTTGAAGAACATGATAGTATGAGCAGTTTTAGTTTTCCATTCTAAGTTGGACTGTATGAGATTGGAGTATCGAGGCCGGGCATGCCTAACTCTATATTTTTTAGAGGTATGCACACACACACACACACACACACACACACACACACACACACACACACACACACACACACACACACACACACACACACACACACACACACACACACACACACACACACACACATATATATGTGTGTGTATGTTTATATATTCATATTTCTTATATAGTGCAGTTTAACTTTTCGATGTTATGTGTCTTGATCTGAAATACAAGTATATTGTGTCCGTTACATCCCGTACATTGAGAACTCCCCCGCACGCTGGTATCGTAGGCCACCGCCCGCGATGCGCAGCCGAGGCCCCGTCTGGCAGCTCCGTCGGAACCAAAACAAGGCAGCGACTCGAGCGACCCACGTGCGGGCGGCTGCTCACTAAGGTATTTCCATACTGATCATTATTTTTTCCTTCAGTTATGTATATACATGGCCAGGGAGGCCGGAACAAGTAACATACAGTCTGTGGAAAATAATTCATTTTATGTTAGCAATGAAATGTAGTTGACAGTCCTATCGAGTTGTGCTGATAAATAGTATTGAAATTAAATTCATTTCATTGGGAACATTTATTTCTTCTAACCATTAACCATTCATTGGAAAAGATCCTTGAAGTGATAAATTTGGAGAGAGTCCATATAACATCCATCAGGAATTCAATGGAAATAAAAATGTCATTTTAGCATGTTAATATCCTGATTGTACTAGCTGATTGTGTGCTTTTAATAGAAGGAATAGGTTCATTTTCATCCAGCCTCCACTTCCAAAGGATAATTATGGAATGGATGAAGTGAAAAATAAGCTCCTTTTCTTTGTAACTTCCAATATGTGACTCAGATTCAGAGAGATTCTGTGAAAAAAATGGAAAATGTTTTCAGTTGTGGTCCAACTAGAATGATTGTCCAGAATGAAGCAAATTATGTGTACACTCTGAAAATAACCTATAGCTAATTCTTTACGGTCCCGGACTCCAAGTCATAAAATGTATTCAACAATTTAATTTGCTATGAATGGGCATTGCCTGAGGTAAGGGAGGGTTGATGGGTGGCTTTTCGTTTGATGGGCTAGGGTGCATTCTGTGTAAAACTCATGTGGGAGGTACGCCAATAGCTCATCGAGTGTACGCCAACGTTCCTGAGAAGAGTTATGTTTCATAAAGAATGATGCCAAGTTATAGCCAAGTAGATTGTTGATGGCAGCACACACATTTTAAAAAGAATCGTAAATTTTTTCCTCAGCCTTGTGATTCTTAAAAATTTGGGATTTTGAGCGTCAGATATTTGTTAAAAAATAGCCACAATGAGTGTAGGGGGGGGCACGTACGTTGTAAAGGAATAAAACAAATGACGATGTGTAAGTGCATTGCATTCAACTTAAAAGCTGGAAAAGGCATAAAAGATGAAGAAGTATGCACCAAGATTTTTCTATTTCATTGCGGCAATACGCCAAGGAACATAATTTAGGCTAAATTTACACCACCACGCTGACAGGAAAGCTAACTCCACGCCGGAGATCTTCGGGCCTAAGTGCATGAAATGCACCCTGGTTGATGGGGGGCTCTGCCACTCAGCATGGTATGACAAAACTGAAACTCTGGAGCAAAGAGTGTGATTTGGCAGTGAACAGTGCTTTCTGTGATATTTTTCCTTTATATGTGGCATTACCATCCGTGCTGGCATATTATTCCTTGTACTGGCAACTGCAACATTTTCTCATTTACAAGAATATCATTTGCACAGTTACCTTTGTTTCTCAGACATCCCCTCCCAATTCCCTTCCAGAAATACTGGAAGACATCCAAAACTTCCTAAACATGACCCTAGAGAATGCTCCACTCCCTCTTCCACCTGCTGTTCTTATTCACTCTACATTCATTGTATTTGTCAATATCCATCCTCCTCCTCCTCCTCCTCAAGTTCCTCCTACCCCTATTCCTCCCACTCTCCCAAAAAACACCCCATCCTCCATGTGCATCACCATTCCCATTATCCATACCACTCACACCTGGATGATCATGTGACTCCCTTATGTCATAACAATGTCCTTCTCTGGATCCCTCCCCTCCTGACATTCTTCCCAATGATTCACGACCTTCCCCTGTCCCTTGGTCTCATTCTCTGGATTCTACTTCTACAACTACCATTTTTACCCATATTACCCTTAGATTGTTTTATAATTTCTCTTTTGTAGTTTAACTCATACAGAAGTCATTTATAATTTTCAATGTTTTCAAGTGTATTAGATGGACTCTCCCCCTCTCTGTAAAAGTACATTCAGGAACTTTGGCTTTCAAAAGTTTTACTTAATGATATTTGAAAGAAGTGAATAATAATACTGTAGAAAGCTTTGGTGTATTGTATGTAGAATCTGTTGTTCTATTGAAAATTTATATAGGATTAAGCAAGTAACTGCCATCAAAATTGTTAAATTTTATGATTTTTTCCTTCTGGGATTCTTTTTGTGAAGTATCTATCACCTATTTATATGGAAACACTAAGAAAGATATATATATATATTTTTTTTTGGGGGGGGGTCAGCACCACACATCAGTGGTTCCCATTGCACAAATCCCAATATCCTTCTTCATGTGGATAAATTTGTTTGTCCATATCCATATTAATATGTAAAAAAAAAACATGGTTCATGGTTTAATATTAGTTAATATTGTTTCTAAATTTGTATTTATTATTTTTCAGGAACAATGGGGAAAAATGCTATAAATACCCAGAAAAAGAAACTAGCTAAAGCCCAGAAGAAAAAGGCAGCCAAACCAAGCTTAGAAACCCTTTCCACAGCAGAACTACTAGACAGAGCACAGGAGTACATTGATTGTTTCCAGTATGAAAATGCCCAAAAATATTGCCAAGAAGCTCTTAAAAGAGAACCTGACTATGTCCCAGCTTTAGAAACCTCTGCCACACTTTGCCTTGAGACTGGAAATCTTGATGGCGCAAAGCACTGCCTTGGGCGTGCCATCACACTCCAACCAGATGAAGGGTATTCAAAGTATTTATCCATGGCACAACTCATGGAAGGAAATGACTCACTACAGTGCTATCAAAAAGGAATAGAAATATTGAGTGAAACTATTGCTCTGGCACAGAAGTCTGAGAAAAAAAGTAAAGATACACCTGAAGCAGAAAATATGGGTGCTGAAAATGGAACAACAAATGAGGAAATGTTATCAGATGGAGCCAAAGCAGATGTAAATGAACAACCGGAAGAATTAAATGAAGAGAAAGCTGCTCTGATACGTAAAATTTCAACGGCATGTTGTTCAGTGGCTGAATTATACATGACTGATTTGTGTGATGAGGAAGAAGCAGAGAATCAGTGTCTTGCATACATAAACAAGGCCATAGAAGCAGACCCCAGCAATCCAGAAGCTTTCCAGTTTATGGTACTTGAATATACTTGTTATTATTCTATATTCAGATAATTTTTATTACAATTAAATCACACAAGTTTTTGATGTTACTTGTATGAAGCTGTTAATGTTACATTTCAGAAATCTTTTTTTATTAGTGTGTAAATGTATATATGATGCATGTGCATGCATGAGTTGGGTAAACGATTGTCCTTGCATATTTTCTCTCTCTCTCTCTCTCTCTCTCTCTCTCTCTCTCTCTCTCTCTCTCTCTCTCTCTCTCTCTCTCTCTCTCTCTCTCTCTCTCTGTCTCGCCCTCTCTCTCTCTGTCTCGCCCTCTCTCTCGCCCTCTCTCTCTCTCTCTCTCTCTCTCTCTCTCTCTCTCTCTCTCTCTCTCTCTCTCTCTCTCTCTCTCTCTCTCTCTCTCTCTCTCTCTCTCGCCCTCTCTCTCGACCTCTCTCGCCCTCTCTCTCGACCTCTCTCTCTCCCTCTCTCTCGACCTCTCTCGCCCTCTCTCTCGACCTCTCTCTCTCTCTCTCTCGACCTCTCTCGCCTCTCTCTCGACTCTCTCTCTCTCTCTCTCGCCCTCTCTCTCTCTCTCTCTCGCCCTCTCTCTCTCTCTCTCTCGCCCTCTCTCTCTCTCTCTCTCGCCCTCTCTCTCTCTCTCTCTCGCCCTCTCTCTCTCTCTCTCTCTCTCTCTCTCTCTCTCTCTCTCTCTCTCTCTCTCTCTCTCTCTCTCTCTCTCTCTCTCCTCTCTCTCGCCCTCTCTCTCGCCCTCTCTCTCGCCCTCTCTCTCTCGCCCTCTCTCTCGCCCTCTCTCTCGCCCTCTCTCTCGCCCTCTCTCTCGCCCTCTCTCTCGCCCTCTCTCTCGCCCTCTCTCTCGCCCTCTCTCTCGCCCTCTCTCTCGCCCTCTCTCTCGCCCTCTCTCTCTCTCTCTCTCTCTCTCTCTCTCTCTCTCTCTCTCTCTCTCTCTCTCTCTCTCTCTCTCTCTCTCTCTCTCCTCTCTCGCCTCTCTCTCTCGCCCTCTCTCTCTCTCTCTCTCGTCCTCTCTCTCTCTCTCTCTCGTCCTCTCTCTCTCTCTCTCTCTCTCGCCCTCTCTCTCTCTCTCTCTCTCGCCCTCTCTCTCTCTCTCTCTCTCTCTCTCTCTCTCTCTCTCTCTCTCTCTCTCTCTCTCTCTCTCTCTCTCTCTCTCTCTCTCTCTCACTCACACACTCACCTCACCTTCTCTCTCTCTCTCTCTCTCTCTCTCTCTCTCTCTCTCTCTCTCTCTCTCTCTCTCTCTCTCTCTCTCTCTCTCTCTCTCTCTCTCGCCCTCTCGCCCTCTCTCTCTCTCTCTCTCTCTCTCTCTCTCTCTCTCTCTCTCTCTCTCTCTCTCTCTCTCTCTCTCTCTCTCTCTCTCTCTCTCTCTCTCTCTCCCTCTCTCTCTCTCTCTCGCCCTCTCTCTCTCTCTCTCTCTCTCTCTCTCTCTCTCTCTCTCTCTCTCTCTCTCTCTCTCTCTCTCTCTCTCGCCTCTCTCTCTCTCTCTCTCTCTCTCTCTCTCTCTCTCTCTCTCTCTCTCTCTCTCTCTCTCTCTCTCTCTCTCTCTCTCTCGCCCTCTCTCTCTCTCTCTCTCTCTCTCTCTCTCTCTCTCTCTCTCTCTCTCTCTCTCTCTCTCTCTCTCTCCTCTCTCTCTCTCTCTCTCGCCTCTCTCTCTCTCTCTCTCTCTCTCTCTCTCTCTCTCTCTCTCTCTCTCTCTCTCTCTCTCTCTCTCCTCTCTCTCTCTCTCTCTCTCGCCCTCTCTCTCTCTCTCTCTCTCTCTCTCTCTCTCTCTCTCTCTCTCTCTCTCTCTCTCTCTCTCTCTCTCTCTCTCTCTCTCTCTCTCTCTCTCGCGCCTCTCCTCACTCACACACTCACCTCAACTTCACCTCTCTCTCTCTCTCATCGCTCCTCTCTCTCTTCACCCTCCTCTCTCTCGTCTC